CACCGAGTTCTTCTTCCACGCCATGGGCGGGCGCGAGGGCCTCATCGACACGGCCGTCAAGACCGCAGAGACAGGTCCGAGCCCCACAGCCCCCCCCCACCTCAAATGGGCTTTGGGACCAACCAAACCCTCCCCAGATGCCTCCTTCGGGCCATTAATGGGGTTTGGGGTGAAGCAACCCCCCCCCAGATTCCTCCTTCAGGCCATTAATGGGCTTTGGGGTCAACCAAACCCTCCCCAGATACCTCCTGGTTACCTTCAAGGGGTTCCAAGACACTGAAACCCACCCCAGATGCCTCCTTCAGGCTATTAATGGGGTTTGGCACCAACCAAACCCCCCCAGATGCCTCTTTCAGGCCATTAATGGGCTTTGGGACCAACCAAACCTACCCCAGATGCCTCCTGGTTACATTCAGTGTCCTTCAGGTTGCCGTAAACCATCCTTAGATGACTCCTGGTGCTCTTCACTGAGCTTTGGGACCAACCAAACCCTCCTTAGATGCCTCCTGGGGGCCATTAATGGGATTTAGCACCAACCAAACCCTCCTTAGATGCCTCCTGGTGCCCTTCAATGGGCTTTGGGCCCCACCAAACCCTCCTTAGATGCCTCCTGGTGCCCTTCAATGGGCTTTGGTCCCCACCGATGCCTCGTGGTGCCCCCTGTGGCTGTTACCACGTGTCCTGTCCCCCAGGGTACATCCAGCGGCGGCTGATCAAGTCCATGGAGTCGGTGATGGTGAAGTACGACGCGACGGTGCGGAACTCCATCAACCAGGTGGTGCAGCTGCGCTACGGGGAGGACGGGCTGGCCGGCGAGAGCGTCGAGTTCCAGAACCTCGCCACCCTCAAGCCCTCCAACAAGGCCTTCGAGAAGAAGTAAGAGGTCCCCAGGGCAGGGTCTGAGGGGGTGAGGTGGCCCTTGAGGTCCTCAAGGTTCCGCGGGGTCCCCAAGGTGCTTCTGACCATCTCAGAGCCCATTTTGGTGCCCTCAACCTCCTTTTGCCCAACTTGGGACCCACATTGATGTTCCCAACCTGCTCCTGCCCATCTTTGTGCCCATCTTGGAGCTCATCTTGGGGTCCCCAAAGTGCTTCTGCCCATCTTGGAGCCCATCTTGGTCCCCCCTCGTGTCCGTGCCCAGGTTCAAGTTTGACTACACGAACGAGCGGGCGCTGCGGCGGACGCTGCAGGAGGAGCTGGGCAAGGGGGTCCTGTTCAACGCCCACATCCAGAACGAGCTCGAGAGGGAGTTTGAGAAGATGCGGGAGGACAGGGAGGTCCTCAGGGTCATCTTCCCCACCGGCGACAGCAAGGTCAGCCCAGCACCCAACGGGCTCCATGGAGGGGACACCACCTTGGCTTGAGGGGTTCAGGAGGACCCAAAGCCAATGGGGAGCTCCATGGAGGGGACACCACCTTGGCTTGAGGGGTTCAGGAGGACCCAAAGCCAATGGGGAGCTCCATGGAGGGGACACCACCTTGGCTTGAGGGGTTCAGGAGGACCCAAAGCCAATGGGGAGCTCCATGGAGGGGTTCAGGAGCACCCCAAGAGCACCCAAAGCCCACTTTTGAGGTTTTGAGCTCCTAAACCCTGTTTTGAGGTCCCAAACCCCACTGTGATGGGTTCACCACCCAGTTTTGGGTCCTGACCCCCATTTTTGACCTCCTGACCCCCATTTTTAGGTCCTGAACCTCATTTTTAGGTGCTCACCACTCATTTTCTTACTTCCTGAACCCCTTTTTGGGGTCCCACCTCCCACTTTTGGCTCCTGAACCCCATTTTTGACTTTCCAAATGCCATTTTTGGGTCCTATGCCCTGTTTTTGACCTCATCTTCCCCATTTTGATGTGATCACCTCCCATTTTTGAGTTCCTAACCCCATTTTTGACCTTCCAAACCCCGTTTTTGGGTCCTACTCCCCATTTTTGAGGTTCTGACCCCCCGTTTTGGGTTCCTGTCCCCAGGTGGTGCTCCCCTGCAACCTGCTCCGCATGATCTGGAACGCACAGAAGATCTTCCACATCAACTCCCGGCTGCCCTCGGACCTTCACCCCATCAAAGTGGTGGAGGGTGAGTTGGGGACCTTGGGGGCTTTGAGGAGCATCCCTGCTCACCAGGACGGTGCTGGAGGCACTTGGGGGACCCCCCATGGGAGGTCCAAGAGGTCTTGGGAACC